CTGAGGCAGAGAGGTTAAGTGACTTGCCAAGGGTTACACAGGTAGAAAGTATCTGAGGCAGGATTTGAACCAGAGTCTTTCTGAAACCAGGCCCAGCACTCTAGCCATCATGCCACTGAGCTGCCTTTTGAGTAGACTCAAAATCACACCCCAAGAGGAACAAGTGAAACAACTCAGAATGTTTAGCCTAGATGAGAGAAGGTTTGGTGATATTTCATTGGCTACCATATACTTCAGTGAAGAGAGTCTCCACATTGTTGAAATCATAGACCTTTGATGTTATAGTGGGATTTGGATTATTATGTTATTACTTCTGATAATAACCTTCCACTAAAGTCTATTCTAATGGCTCATTGAATGGCTTCCTGAAGGCTAACACTAAGAAAGTACCAGTCTTACTGGGCTGGAAAAAACTGAAGTCTGGTCTGGCTATGGTATGTCTATTGACTGAGGACAAGCCAAGTTAAATTTGGAGACTCATTATTAGAAGATTGGCCACTGGATGACGCATTGATGATATGTTTTTTTTTTCTTCTTTTTTAGAGTGTTGGTACACAGTAAGTAATTGAGGGAATACTCAGATGTGGATTAGTTGAACCTGGATCAGTGGAAGGACTGGGCACATTGATGATGCCCCAGCATTGAAATAATACTTAAGTAGATATAAAGATTATTTAGTAAGCTTCCTAAATCAAATATAGACATAGTCTCCTGGAGTTAGCCCCATCTTTTCTCACAGCTATTAGCCGTCTTCCATTGTTTTATTCTCTCCTATACCCTAAAAAAATGAAGCCCTAGAAACAAACACATGGGCAGTTTTCTAAGATGCTTTCTATGATAATGGTGTGTTTTTATGCTGGATTCCCTTCGTTCATTTGTATTGGTTTTGAAAATATTTCTACTGGATTTAAAAAAAAAATGTTTCTGACATCCTTATTGAAGAGTAGCTTGGGAGAGAGCTAACCAGTTCTGCAAGAGGGCACGTTCCTGACTAGAAAAAAATCAGACCACTTCTACTGGGGATATTCAGGACACAGTTGCAATCCAACACTTTTGTCTTGTTAAGCAGTGCCCCAGGATGCAGCTCAATGAAAGGGTCCATAGCTTCAGTCATCAGCACACAGAAATTTCTTCACCTTGAATGTCAAGCTTTCTGGACTTTTTCAAAGCACGATATCAGTATATAGCATCATGTCTGAAAGACCTACAAGCCCTAAGGCCCTGCACACATTTAACCACTTTGGGAAGCAGATTAATAGAATAACCAATAAAACATGTATACGAGCTTTAATTAAGTCTGACAAAACCAAACTTCATGTTTTATTTATGGGCAGTCCCAACATGTAAAAGATTCAGAGAGACACACGTTTTTACCGTCATTTCTTCCTCTCATATCTATAATTGAATCCAGGCTTCGACCTTGGCCTAAAGCAACATGGCATTTAAAAACTGCCCTTGGAGGTGCTCCTCCCCTCCCTCCACTTAACTGCTTCTAATTATATGAGCTGGCTCTAATATGACAGAGCCTAATGGCAAAAAAACAAACCAACAGAAAACCCAAAATAAAACAATAGCTAGGCCAGTTGTGCTTGCAAGGACACCCCAAAGGACAATTTCCACCATGCTGGGGTTGTTATACATTTCCAGTTTTATTTTGTACCAAGTGCACAAACCCTTCATTTTACCTTTGACGTAAAAAAGGACTTCATGGAACAAGACAAAATAACTTATGATTATATGAAACATAACTGTGACAAATCACAAAACTATACATATTAATAGAAAAAAGTACCTAATTCTTTAAAAGATTTATGACAATAGGCACCAGATGTAGCACTAGAATAGAATCAGCCTGATATACAGTATGATATATGCAGTTCATATCTATATGTGAGCATATATAACTATGTACAAGAGTCTGTATGAGTTATGGAAAACAGATTTCCATTTTTTTCTTCCAAAGTGCTTTGAGTAAGCAACATTACACAGGATGCTTTGCTGTCTGTACAAAATAAATCTTTTTTTTTTTTTGCACATACTATTATTTTCCAATGTGTGTCTCTCTGCTATAGCTGTTCATAGAAAAAACAATAACCACACAAATTCTATACCAATAACCAAAAGTGCCATTTAAATGAAATGCTGACGATATGGTCGAGAGTGAGATAAAAATCTCAAATGATGCACAAAGTCATTATTTCCAAGCCTTCAAGGCAATCAGGATAGAATGGTGGTCTCAGGCAGATGAGGGCAACATTTCCCCCCCTTGAGAAACTGGTCTTATGACCAAGCTTTTTTGATTTTCTCATAATTGGCCATCCCTAACCCCACAAGTGGGATCACCATTGTACACCAGTAGAGAGATCTTTTTACAACCACAGAATTAACTCTGTGATACTTGGCAAAGAAGGCAAAGGGAGATAAACAAAGGGCTGGTGAGGATTTAGATCACAGTGGATTTGAATCTAAACTATAACAGCCTTTTGGATATAATCCCTTTTGAGAATTAAGACAATGCAGCAAACAAAATGTCTTCAGGCGTGTTGCTTTAATACCATCAGATAACTGGCATTGAACTATGTGTATGTGTGTATTTTCACAAGCACCTCTTTAAAAAAAAAGAGAGAGAGAGAGATAGAAAAGAAAAAAAAAACAGGATAGACAATCCCCTTTCAGATATTTCAGAAAAGTTACATAATAAGCTAAAAATGGATAGGGAACAATTTCCAGAAGTAGGCTTACAATAGTACCAGAATAATAATGAATGCACATACATACTTCCTACAGGTATTAGGTACATCTAAAACAGAGCTGAAACTTGGATCCCTGGTAAGCGATGACATGGAGAGCTGTGTAGGGGTGAGATTTTTATACTTAACTCACTCTTTCTTCCCATTTATCCAATTATGTATTCTGGGGGTGAAACAAGAACAGGGACAGGGAAAGAAGGAGGTTTTACAGGTTGGGCATTCCATCTGTGGTGTAGTGGAAAGAACACTGGCCCGGGAGTTAGAAGACTTTGGTTCAAGCCTTGAATTAGTTGCCACTAATTACTCGTGTGGTCTCAGGCAAGTCACTTTATGTGTCTGGGCCTCAATGGGCTCATCTACAAATGAAATTGAACTAGATGACCTCAAAAATCTTTTCCAAAAGATGGTCTTCTAAGATCCTATGAATATAATAATAGTAATAGCATTATGAAACACTTCAAAGTTTGTGAAGTGCTGCAAAAATATCTCATTTTCTCTTCATGACCCTGGGAGGGAGGTTGCTATCTTTACCTCCATTTTACACATGAAGAAACTGAGACAGAATCTAAATGTTTTACCTAGTGTCATACAGCTAGCAAATGTCTGAAACCAGATTTGAACTCATGTCTTCCTGACTCCAGGCCAAGCACTCTAACCATCGGGTCACCTATGAGAAATCCCTGATTTCAAGGCCGATGGCCCCTCCTGCAGTACCTATATGGCGGCTTTCATACCATAAATGTTGTGGAAGTCAGGAGAAGTGGGCAATGGTATAAGCCACCACTGCCTACAGAGCCTCTCTGCACTTTCACTCCAGGCAGTTGCCAGTGATGGGGTGATAGTGCCTAAGGAAGGGCTAGAAATAACACTGGTAGTCAGAGAACCAAGTATGTCTTCATAGGAAGGCAGACTGTTACTGGGAATGGTTGCCATCTTTTAGAATAGATTTCTGATAGTCATGCTTGAATTTTTCTGCCCCTTTTCCATGTTAGAATTAATATCATAGTCACATGATGTGACAGTGAGATTAATTGGTGACCACACCAATCTATGAACTGTTTCACCCAACACAGTCCTTATCCTCCTTTCTCTACATGAATAAATTGTATGTACTTTGAATAAGTCATAAATGCTCCAGAGTTCAGAATTAATTGATTATCTCTGGAGTCTAAAGCAGTTTTCTTTTTTTAACCTGAGTTTGACTCAGGATGATTTAGACTAAAGGGATTTTACCATACAAGTGTACAAAATGTGTTTGTACATATTATCTGCCCCTGAAAGAATGTAAGTGTCTTGAGAGCATGGAATGCTTCATGTTTGTCTTTGAATTCTCAGCACCTAACATAGTACCTGGAACTTGGTAGGTGCTTAATAAATGCCTGCTGACTTATTGATTTATAGGCTCCTGAAAATGTGCAAAACAGTTCAATTTTTGTTTTTAAATTATATTTAAAATGTACTGGAATAACTTTATGTAAAACAAAATAACTGCTCCCCAATTAAGCACTTTTAAGTTTGAATCTTTATTTACTGGTTTTTCTTATATTAGGGCCCATTTGTGTACAGAGAAGTTAGCCTCTTTTCACCTGGGTCCATAGTATAGACCGGTGGTATCTAACTCAAACTGAAACAGGTCACTAAACCATGCATAAGGATTCCTGAAGGCCACATGCTGATATAGAAAACCACATATTAACATAATCTACGTTATTGTAATTTTATTTATTTTGTTAAATATTTCCCAATTATAGTTTAATCTGGTTCAGGTCCACTTTGGGGTACTGCTGCAATGGAGCCTGTTTGCTGTGTGTTTGGCACCCCTGATATAGACTGACATGCGTGTTCTTCTCTCAACTCATCATTAGACTTAATGTTGGGACTGAACTTCAGAATCCTGTAGGAAAAGATTTACCACTGAAGCTCATAAGTCACTCACCAGTATTTGAAATTACCCATTATTTTAGGCACAACACCAGATTTCTTTATTGTCCTATTAATAGTTTTCCTAATGAGGTTATTTTCCTTCTATTATAAATAGAAAAATGTAGCTTTAGTCTTTAAATATAATGGCATCAAAATGTATTTTGAACATTTTGATAGTATTATGCTCCAGAACTTTTTACTTTTGTTTTATTTATTTATTTTTTGGCTAGTGATAGGGTTAAATGACTTGCCCAGGGTCACACAGCTAGTAAGTGTCAAGCGTCTGAGACTGGATTTGAACTGAGGTCTTCCTGACTCCAGGGCTGATGCTCTATCCACTATGTCACCTAGTTGCCCCAGAATATTTTACTTTTAAAAAGATATCAGAAATAGTAGCTTTCCACCTAGTCTTGAAATTTATGTACCAAGATAGGGCAAAATTTAAATTCTGGGCTTCCGAGCTAGCATTTCAAAAATGGTGGCTTCCCATCTGTCTTCCATCCCCTAATATGTATCCCATGTCTCAAACTTCCTCCATTATCACTTTCAACTGGTTTCTTACCAGTTCTCTCCAAAGCTGGTAACTGGGTGTTAGGATTGGAGTGGCCTGGGCCTAAGCTGGGATTGTGGAGGAGGAGGAGACAGATAGGTAGGGAAGAGATGGAGAGAAGGGGAAAAGGAAGAGCAAAGAGAACAGTACCAGGCTGGAAGAGGAGGGAGGACAGTATTTACAGAGTGACTGTTCACCTTAGTCCCCCATTCATTTCGTCCCATACAGATGCCATCTCTGGAACCTCCCTCCTTCCTCTCAGCTCCCCTCTACCTCATCCTGCCAAAGGCCTGCCAATGTCTCACCTGGCCAGAGCACCAAAATAGGATTTAATTTATCTGTTTGTAGCTCTTCTCTAAGCACAAGCTCCTTGGAATGGGAGGCCCAAATCTTGCTGAATTAAATCAACTTTAAGACTTTGCATTCAGTGCTGGAGGAACATAGCTAATATAATTCAGCCACTCATCTTCTGCTAACTACAAAACTGAAAGATCAAAGTACTCCCAAGCACTGCTGGGTCTGTGTGGGCAGGATTTTAAAGGCTGGGGAAATATAAGTAGGGGTCTTTATTTATTTACTTGGCCATGTCAGAAACAGGCCACAGGAAAGTTGTTGTTGGGTTTTTTGTTTGTTTTTTCTTCTTTTAAGTGACAAAAAGGTACCCTAATTCTCACAAGTGGAAGAATTGCTGGGATAAAAGTAAGTTGTCTTTCAAGTCACTGTACTTGACAGATTCTTTTTATTCACTGCATAAAATAATGTAATTAGAGAAATATCAAAAAGCAATCTACTGGTAAGCCTGTGGGTATAAAATGGGAGAGCTGAACCAAGCTTGCTGGAGATCCTGGGGACAGAGGGCATCCCTGGAGGGCCTCTGGGAGATGGTGCTACCAGAGGCATCTGTCAGAAGCTCTTACTTTTTTTTCCCTTTTATGTTTGGCTTTGCTTAGCTGCAGAAGCACCACAGAGGCATGTGCCTGGCATAGCCCTGTGCCTTAAGAGGCTTGTACTGTGCCTCAATGTCCTTGTATGAAAAGAGGATTGTCCCCAAACCAAGCCTGAATTTTTTTCTTTCATGATTTCAGTGGTTCCATGTGAAAAGTCTCCCAACAACACCCACTTTCTCATTCAGTCTTTGAATTCCCTTTGAATAGATAGTTGGGGTTGTCACATAACTAGGCAAACAGAAGGAGAAAGAGACATGACTGCTGAGTTTCTGAAGGCTTGGTGAGGACTCGTGTCTCCCATTCCTCTTCTGCAAGGATCCTTCTGTGCCCCTTGGCTTTGCAAACCCCGGCACTTGGAGTCCTGACTGGATGAAGGTGAAGGAGATTTGAAGCAGAGGATTTGGGGATGAGCATTAGATGCCTGGGTGGCTTTTAGCCTTCGGTATAGACAGAAGAGAGCTGGCTGGGGCAGCGATCCACAGCACTGATCTGTAGGAAGGTGGAATCTTCAGGTCCATTTCGTAGAGACTCTCCAAAGATACCAGTGGGGCCTGATGGCAGATCATACACTGCAAGAGAGAAGAAGTCATTGGTGATGGGTCATTTCACAATGGGGGCCGCCCAGCCAACAACACCCCTAAATAACATCAACCTGCAGGTTGCAACTTGCAGGGCAAATTTAGGGTGGACGGGAGAGAAGTGAAGAGTCCCTGGTAAGATACAAATAATGGGAAAACAAATGGTACAAACAAAGGGAAATTCCCCCTTCTGATGGTTTCTAAGCCACCGATGTCAAACAGACCTGTAATGCCTGAATGAGCTGAAAAAGCTCTGTGGAAAACATCGAACCCTGCCTGGCCCACGGGTGCAGGGACAAGGCAGTCTTCTAAGGAAGGCACCATATTGCAGGAGTTGCCATGGGTCATGTTTCTCTGAGGATCACTGTAATGGGGGGGACAAAATGTCTGCAGCTGCCCGTAGAACCCTGAAACAAAGAAATAACCTTGAGTTTCTTGGAAAGCATGAAGGGAGCAACAAAACATTAGAAAAAGGGCCCCAAAGACCCTTGTAGACTCAGTTAGTGCTTAGAAGAAGGCTCTCCTTTAAAATTAGTCATTTCAGCGACACCACTGGTATTTACTACAATATGAGCACAGTATCATATAGTGGAAAGACTAGATTTGAATCCCAACTCTTCTACTTTCTCTGTGTATGACTTCATATAAGTCATTTTCTTTGAGCTTCAGTTTTCCCCATTTGTAAAAGGAAGGGATTTATCTAGCTATCTAAGCTCTGTTATAGCTTTAACTCTGCCAACTAAAGTAGCCCAGGAAGGTCATATTGTAGGTGAGTTACCACAGATAACTGGAAGTCATTAAAAGTTGTTTGTATAAATTGTTCTCCTAGTTATGTTCACTTCACTTTGCATCAGTATATGGAAGTCTTCCAAGATTTCTCTGAAACTATCCCCTTAATCATTTCTTAAAGCATATTAGTATTCTATCTCAACTTTTTCAGCCATTCCACAATTAATGAACAATTCCTTTTATGTTTCCAGTTCTTTGCCACTTCAAAAAGATCTGTTATAAATATTTTTGTTCAAAGAGTTCCTTTTCTTTGATCTCTTTGTGGTAATACACCTAGTAGAGATATTACCAGGTCAAAAGAATATGCCCATTTTAACGGTTTTTTTAAAATTTTTATGCATGGTTGCAAATTGCTTTCCAGAATGGCTGAACAGTTCATGACTCCATCAACAATACATTAATGCACCTGTTTTCCCACAGCATTTGTCATTTGCCTTTTTGTATGTGAAGTGTTACCCTGAGTTGTTTTAATTTTCATTTATCTAATTATTAGTGATTTATGGCATTTTTCATGTTGCTTTTGATAGCTTGGACTTCTTCCTCTGTTTCATGTTCCTTGACCATCTTTATAAATTTTTCTCAGTTCCCTGCATAACTTATAAAAAAGTCCTTTATTTGGATTTTGTTTATCTCTAGTTTCTGCTAGATTACTTTCTAGTGTTCCCAACAGTTTTGTTGAATAGTGAGTTCTTGCCTCAGCTACTGAGATTAGGGGTTTAACAAATGCTAGGCTACTGTTATTGTTTTCTTTTATATATTGCATATCTAATTAATTTCACTGATCAACCTGTTTCTTACCCAGGAACAAATTGTTTTGATGATTATGACTTTGTAGTATAGTTTGCTCTTAAGCTCCCTTCCTTCTTGCCTTTTTTCATTAATTCTCCTTATATTCTTGATCTTTGTTCCTCCAGATGTTTTGTTACTACTTTTTCCTAGATCTATAAAGTTGTATTTTGGTAGTTTGGTAATAAATAATTTAATTTAGATCATGTAGTTTTTGTTATATTGGCTTAGCCTACCCACGAAGAATTAACACTTCTCTAGTTATTTAGATTAATGTTTGTGCAAAGAGTAGTTTGTAAATGTGTTCATACAGTTCCTGTGTATGTCATGGCACAGGTAGATTCCCAAGTACTTTATTTTGTCTGTAGTTATTTTAAATGAAATTTCTCTTTCTATCTCTTCTTGCTCGATTTTGTTGTTAATATACAGAAATATAGATGTGGTTTTTTTCCTCATATCCTTCACCTTTGCTGAGGTTGTTTTAGTTTTTTTAGTGGACTTTCTTGAGTTCTCTAAGTAAACCATCTTATCACTTATTTATTTATTAAATATAATTTATAAAAAGTGATAATTTTATTTCCTCTTTGCCCAAGCTTATTCCTTTAATTTCCTTTTCTTATTGATATACTTAGCATTTGATGCTAAGTATAATTACCTATCAGATGATGTAGGAATTTGGTAGGATTCCTTTACTTATTTGTTTTCCCCCAACCAGTTTATTATTGGAATTTCTTGTTCTTTAAATGTTTGGTAGAATTAACTTGTAAATCTGTCTGGTCCTGGGAAGTTTTTCTTTGGGAATTCGTTTATGGCCTGCTCAATTCTTTTTCTATGATGGAGTTGTTTAAGTATTGTATTTCCTGTTCTGTTTATCTGAACAGTTTGGATATTTGTAAACACTGATTCATTTCACTTAGAGTGTCAGTTTTATTGTCATATAGTTGGGCAAAATAGTACATAAAATTGCTGCATTTTCTTCATTGGTTATGAATTCACCCTTTTCATTTTTGATAATGGAAATTAGTTTTCTTTTTAAATCAATTTAGCTGATGGCTTATCTATTCTGTTTTTTGTTTGTTTTTAAATGGATCCTAATTTTATTTATTCAATTTTTTTCTTTCCATTTCATTAATCACTCCTTTGATTTTCAGGATTTCCATGTTGGTACTTAATTGAGGGAGGTTAATTTGTTGGTTTTCTAGTCATTTTAATTGAATTTCCAATTCATCATTCTGTTCTTTCTTTCTTTTATTGATGAAAACATTTAGGGATATAAAATTTCCCCTAAGTAACGTTTTGGCTGCATCCCCAAATTGTTGATATGTTGTCCTATTGTCATTTTAATGAAATTATTAAATGTTCCTATAAATTGTTTTTGACTCAACCATTTTTTAGGGTTAAGTTATTTCATTTCTAATTGATTTTTAACCATTGTTTCAAAGGCCGTTTATTGAATATAATTGTTACTGCATTGTGGTTGATCAGTAAAAGATGCATTTAGTATTTATGTATTTGTTTGTGAGGTTTTATGACCTAATACATGATCAGTTTTTGTGAAGGTGTCATGCATCTGTAGCTGAGATATATTTTCCAGATGCCCATTAGATCTAACTTTCTGGAATTCTACTCAGGTTCTTCTTTGCTTAGATATTTTTAGGTTTTAGAGGGGTAAATTGAGATCCCACTATTATTGTTGTACTGTTGATTTCTCCCTATAACTCATTTATCTTTTCCTTGAAGAATTTAGATGCCATGGCATTTGGTGCATCTAGAGTTAGTATTGACAGTAATTCTTTCTATCGTACCCTGTAGCAAAATGTAGTTTCCCTGTTTATCTCTTTTAGTTAGATTTATTTCTGATGTTGTCTTCTCTTAGACTATGATGGATACTATTGCCTATTTTACTTCAGATGAAACACAATAAATTAAGCCCTTTCTTTTAACTCTAATCTTTTGGTTTCAAGTTTTTTTTTTTTTTTTAAACAACATATTGTTGCATTCTGGTTTCAAATCCATCCTGTTTGCCAGCTGCGTGTCATGGATGAATTCATCCCATTCACAGTCCTGATAACTAATTGTGTATTTCTCTCCCTCTTATTCTCTTACACTTTTCCTGCTCTTTTTTCCTACCCCATCTTTAAGAGTTTGTTTTTCTTCTGAATAGTCACTCTCTTAGTCTATCTTTGCTTTTATTCTTCTGTTTATTTCTTTGGTGTTTGAAAAGTATTTCCTTATCCAACTCTATGTGTATATGTGTATATTCCTTCCTTTGACCAGTTAAGATAAGCTTAAGATTCAAGTATTACTTCTTCCTTATTATATAGATTTGAGTTGGAAAAAATAAACCTCACAAGTACAATATGGGAAAGGCATAGCTAGATGACAACTCATAGGGAAAAGATCTAGAGGTTTTAGTGGACTACAAGCTCAGTATGAGTGGGATATGGCATCCAAGAAAGCTAGGGAGATATTAGGTTTCACCAAGAGAAGCATATTGGCCAGAAATAAGGAGGTGTAGTAGTCTCTTTGTACTTTGCCCTGGTCAGTCCACATCTTGGAGTACTATGTTCAGTTCTGCATATCACATTTTGAGAAGAATATTAATAACCTGTCCAGAAGAAGACAAGCAGGATGATGAAGGAACTCTAGATCATGCCTTATGAGGATTGATTGAATGGAATAGAGATGGTAAACCTGAAGAAAAGACTTGGGAACATGATAGCTATTCCCAAAGTTCTGAAGTCTCATGATCTTTTTAGATCATGGTATGTGTTATCAGGTATTTATTCATAGCTCTTCCTCATCTTCCTTATCATCCTCACAGAACAACAGAATCTAAGTCTATATTCAAGTAAATTATAAAAATCTAAGCAGACCCACAATCTTCTGGAAATTGTTGATTCTTTGACAAAACTACCCTCATAAATGATTATCCATTGATACAGACCAAAAGTTTGCACCTTAGCAAATGGTTTCATGATCTGCCATGACTTTAAAAAAGACAAATCACCTAATGACTTTCATTTAGCTTGACTGGTACTTGGAGAGTAGTCAATCACTCACTGGGCTCTGACACAAAGCCTCTCCATGTTGATATCTGTCATAACTCTACTGGCTTAACCTTCAAAGACCTAGGGTCATTTTGACAACCCTACATAGCATCAGAGAAAGATTTCACTGGAGGATTTAGTTGCAAAATCTCTCCAATTTTAGCAGATATTTTTGCTTCCAAAAAGGGATGGAGATGAAAAACCATGCAAATAAATAACTTTAATAGGTCACAGGCTTCTATCTCAAGTGAAATTGGTGCACTAATCATCACAGCCAGCAGTGAAATTTCTACTATACTGGTCCATTCCAAAGGTGTGGTCAGAGCAATCAGTAACTGAATACCTACTTGAGCCCCCTTATTTTCAGCACACATGGCCAGAGCTTATGAACTCCTGGGACTGGAAGAGAACTTAGAAATCATATAATTATTCCAGGCTACACAGTTGCCTTGTCCAAGCCATCAGAGGAGCTCTTGCTTCAATTCAAATAGAGCCAAGGTCAATAATCCTTAGTCTCAGTGGGGTGGGGTTAGTGGAAGAGACAGAATGATTTTTAAAAAATTGTTAGTTGAAAAATAAAAATAATAAACTTTGAAAAAAGTCAAACCAGTGACCTTCCTCCCTCTTCCCAAATTCATTAGGCTTTTCTATTATTGTCCAAAAGGCACAGAGAGCACTTTTTAAAAATCGCCTTCTTGATTTCAGTATTTATCAGAAATTCTGGTGGTCTTTTTTTCTAAACTTAAATAAGGGCTTGACTACAGGGAACCATAGAAGGGCAT